CGTAGGACGCAGGAGCGCCCCCTGCCGGCCGGAGCGCCCCCTGCCGGCCGTACACCCTCCCTAGCCAGGGACAGCCCCAAGGCTCGCCCAGGGTCCCCAAAGCTTTGAAATGCTGGCAGGTTTTCATCCTCTCAACCTGTTGTATTCACGCAAGTGCTTTGTCTTTCTCCTTGGCTTTGCTGTCCAAAAGAATCTTCTTAAGTCAGCCCAGATTCCCCTCCATTTGGAAGAACGGATCAAGAAAATGTGGAATTTTACCCATCTGTTAGAATGATAAGGCATCATTTACAAAGAAAGGGAAGGACCTGGAAAAAATTATGTTCAGTGAAGTAAGTCAGGCCCAGAGCAACAAAAGTTGCATATCCTCACTCCTGGGTAGAAGCTAGAATTAGTTTACAAATACATAAGTAAACACTTTGGGTGGCATGCAAGTGTACACATATTGTTGCCTGAAATACAGTAGATTCAGGAGGAGAGCTCCAACAATATAAATTCTTAGAAAGGCTCCATCATAGTTCAACAAAATAAACACCAGAAACAGGTACTTGAAAGGGTGGGTGGGGTCAAGAGGAGTGAGGTAAACAAAAGGAGAGAGGAGGTTGGGAAGAGAATGCAGTAAAAAAGGCATATCCTACTAAAGGAAAGTGCAGGAAAGGGTGGGTTGGGAGGAGTGAGTCAGATTATTGAAAGGGGGTGACACTGATTAACACTCATAAACTGCTTTGTTGAGTGGCGGCTTCTTCATTCAACTACTTAAAGATAGTACAATAAGACTTCATCTTTGGCCTTGAAAAGCTAAAACTTCAGTTCCATAAACAAAGTCTAAATCCAAGAAATGTTAACAATCTAAGAATACAGTAGTTATGGTCTGTAGTCCCAGCTACTTTCCAGGCAGAGGTCAGATAAATAGAAGTCCCAGATCTTATCTTTAAGGTCTTGTTTTTCTAAACTAATTGAAATTAAAAGCCCTGGGGAGCTTGGATTAGATGTTGGAGAAAGATGGATAGCCTAGTTAGGAAGGGAAGAAAGCGGAGAGGAGGGAGCGGAGAGATCAGAGGACATTTAGTTTTCAGGTGAGATCCAAGGATCACTTACAGGCATACAAGCAGCTAGGATTTTTTCACCCCTATTTAAATGTCACATTTAATAGACTTGGTATTATATCCGGTTGAACATTTGTGGAGCTTTCCTCAATAAACCTTCACCTTTGCCTGGACAAATTAGGTTTATTCAATGGCAAAACCATTCTCATAAGGGATACGAAATCTGCAAAGAGAAATAAATGGGAAGTATTAAATTAGTAAACAAAATAGGAAAAGGACAAAAAAAATCTTTCTTGAAGGTTAGAAGTTGAACCTGAGATTTAGTAATTGTTGGTGCAGTGTAGGATAGCAAGAGTTATTTGATGAGGATTGTCCTGGAAGGAAGAATTAACAAGGGCTGTTTTAATGCATGTAAACATTTGATTCTTATGCTGAACTTGCTGTGGTATCATCACTTGACTTTTTATTTCATTATTTTATTACTTTATTATTTTATTCTGTAATTCCAAGAAAATAATACTTGGCTAAAACTTAGAAATTAAATATTATAAACTACTATATCCCAGTACCTTTCCCAAAGGGTCAGAACATGTTAGCCAGAATGTTAGTTTTGACATCTACCTGCATAACTTTTTTTTTTTTTTTTTTGGTCAGTTGTGGGACTTGAACTCTGGGCCTGGGCACTGCCCTCAGCTCTTCAGCTCAAGGGGAGCACTCTGCCACTTGAGCCACAGCACCACTTCCAGTTTTCTGATGATTAATTGGAGATAAGTGCCTCATGAACTTTACAGCCCAGGCTGGCTTTGAACCTCGATCTCCAATCTCAGCCTCCTGAGTAGCTAGGATTACAGCCAGGAACCAGCGGTGCCCGGCTCTACCTGCATAATTTATATATGTAGCTTTACCAGGAAAAGTCTCCAAACCATGAAGGGGATAGTTTGAACTATATTGAAACTCTTGATAACCTATTCATATGGAAAGTCTTCATAATTGAACCTAATAATGAAAAAATTAAGGGAGAATGTGAGACCCTGAGTTCAAACCCCAGAAAAAGCACAAGAACACAAAAGAGTTGAGAAAATCATGCTGTTATAAATGGAGACATGGCTGAGCAGGTCTTACATCTTTTTTGTTTGTCCCCCCCCCCACTTTTTTTGTAGAGTTTTAAGCTTCTGTTACTAGATTTATAATCAAATGTTTTGCTTAAACAGTATTTACATTATATGGGTCCTAGAATAATTTTGGAATTAAGATAAACTTTAAAATAATAGAGGAAGGATGTTTACTGTTATTATTTTCTCATAATGTGATTAATATGTAGAGGTAACATAGGGCCCTGGTATATTAAGATATAACTTAGTATATACTTAGATGTTATAACTACAAATTCTCCAGTTAGGTTAATAATGGTGGTAGAGGTAAGTTATGCTATCAAGTACTCAAGTGGTATCAAGTGGTATCTATAGTCCACAAACTGTATAGTTCAAATATGTTCCTGTTTGAGCTCATGAGGCAAAAATAATATTGATAATGTGAAGCTGTGGGCTGTGGTTCCAATAAAATATTATTGTATTTGGATAAGAACTCAGCCTCCGGAGTAGCTAGGAATACAGGTATGAGCCACCAGTACCTGGTTGTTGGTTGTTTTTTTGTTTTCTGGTTTTTTGTTTTTGTTTTTGCTTTTTTAATTGTGGTAGTTGTTGTGGCGTGGACTCTGCCTGTAGTCAGAGTAGTTCTGTTTGCTTATACATTTCGGTAATTTTTATCTTGAACAAACTTGTTTGGCTTAGATGAGTTATACTCCCTCTTCCCTTTTATTTTCTCAGGAACCATACTCCCTCACTTGTTGGTAAGCAGCTTTGCTAGAGTCTGAGGATTGCTCTTGGTAGACAGTCCCCTCCTCCCCCTTTAGTTTTCTTATAAATGAAATGTGGTCATAGGTCCAGCCAGTTCTTTGAAATGGGTTGCTTTGTGTAATCCAGTTTGTTTGCATTTGCATTGTCTTCCTAATGTTTGCACTAAGTTAATGCTGAGATTTGCTAGCTGATTATAAAACAGGGTGATGTCATCTTGGAGATTGGCTGGCTGCTTTAGAGATTGGAGTAAAGCCCAAACTTGCCTTTTGTGAGTTTAATGGAAAGAAAAGCATGGGGCATTGGTAGGATTCATTTGAACATTCACTATTTAAAATATATTTAAATTTAAATGCTGATGGCTCATGCCTAGCTACTCAGGAGGTTGAGATTTGAGGGATCACAGTTCAGGCCTGGGCAGAAAAGTCCCCCTGAGGCTCTTTTCTCCAGTTAACCACCAGAAAACTGGAAGTGGCACTGTGGCTCAAAGTGGTAGAGTGCTTCCTTGAGTGAAAGAGCTCAAGGATAGCACCAAGGCTTTGAGTTCAAGCCCCATGACAAAGGAAAAAATGTTGAGAGGGCTGGGAATGTGGCTTAGTGTTAGAGTGCTTGCCTAGCATGCATGATGCCCTGAGTTCGATTCCTCAGTACCACACAAACAGAAAAAGCCAGAAGTGGCACTGTGACTCAAGTGGTAGAGTGCTAGCCTTGAGCAAAAGAAGTTCTGGGACAGTGCCCAGGACCTGAGTACAAGCCCCAGGACTGGCACGTGCACACACACACACAAGTTGGACGCTAACTGAAACCATGTTATTTGAATATGAGAGGAAAAAAATCACATATAGATACCAAATATACATAATATTCAAACCAGACTTTTAGACCCCAGATTCTACTACTCTACTAGACCACAGCTCCAACTTTGCCTTTTTAAAAAATATATATAATTGGGGATAAGAGTCTGACTGACTTTCTTGTTAAAGCTAGTTTCTAACAATAGTCTTCATATCTCAGTTTGCACTGAGCCAAGCTCAAACGCATTCTTTACACTGCCTCTTAAAATGTGTTTTACTGTGAGAATGATAGAAGGAAAAAAAAAAAGACTACCCTGTGTCCTTCTCTTTGAGGAATCTGGATCAAAAATCTTCTTAGGAGCAATTACATTTGCCTACAATTGGAAGGTTTATGAATGTTTGTTTCCCATTGCAAATAAAAAGAGAGCCATTTGACCTTGCTGAGTTGTAGTTGGTTTAGTCTTGCTCTTTGTGACCTAATCTCAATTTATTGTGATTTATATGGCAGTGACTCAAGGCATAGAAGACACACTGCATCTGTACTACTTGTTACTTAGTGATATGCTATTTGTTTTATTTTGAAAAATGAAATGAACTTTCCAAAGAAAGCAGAGCCTTTTACTTCCATACTTTTGTATGTTGTTCGCTAGAATTTAGAATATCCTTTTGTCTGTTTTCATGTTCCCCTAATACAGTTGCTTGTTTTTTTTGTTTTTTGGTTGTGGGTCTTGAACCTGGGTCTGTGTGCTTCCAGTGCTCTTCAGCTCAAGGTGAGCACTCTACCACATGAGCCACTTCCAGTTTCCTAGTGGTTTATTGGAGATAAGAATCTCACAGACTTTACTGGCTGGGCTGGCTTTGAGCCACCATCCTCAGATCTCAGCCTTCTGAGTAGCTAGGATTACAAGCATGAGCCACTGGCACCCAGCTAGTTGCTTGGTTTTAAAGACCCTGTGTGGGTGTGAATATTTTTGGGACCCTTTTTAGGTTTGGGTCACACAATATTCTTCTGTGGTTTCTAAAACATCTTCTATTTATTCTATATACAGGAAACATTTATACTTTATTGTATTGGTTGGTTCATTATTGTTAACTTTTTTTGTTGTTGTTGGTTGTGGGGCTTGAACTTGGGGCCTGGAAGCTGTCCCTGAGCTTTTTGCTCAAGGATAGTGCTCTATCATCTGAACCACAGCATCACTTTCAGCTTTCTCTGAGTATTTATTAGAGACAGATTGCCATGGGGACTTTTCTATGTGGTCTGGCTTTGAACTACGATCCTCAGATCTCAGCTTCCTGAGAATAGGATTACAGGTGTGAGCCACTGGTGCTTGGCTGTTGACTTAGTAATGCTAACTTACACATAGTGTTTACTAGGTACTAACCATAGATCCACTTTGCATCTATAAATTCACATAATCCTCTCATCACTATGAGGGAGGTACTGTTATTGCCTTTATACAGAAACTAAGATACACAGTGGAGTGCTTTCAGAGTCATATCCTACCAAGTAACAGAGCTGGGATTCTGATCCAGCTAATTGAGATCCAGTACTCAAGTAGAAAGCCTTTTTACTACGAGGACAGGCTTCCTGACAACTAATACCTAATGATTGGCTAGGCAGTTAGCAGACATTAATGCATTCTTATTGGAAGAGTAGATGAATCACAGTCCTCCTCTGAGGAACTTTCTGTATCATGACATGGTCGCAGAAAACTGAGACATGAGGTCAGAGCCAAGGGCTGAGGACTGGAGAAAGCAGGAGCCTGCTGTCTGGAAATGGCCTGAGCACCGTAAGCTTCATGTTTTTTCCACAAGGAATTGACATCACAGCTGATATCACAGCTGCATGGTCTGTTGGTCAGGACGGCCTGGACTGGATCATGTTTTGAAACTTGGACTCGTCACCAGATGGCTTCAGCTTTAAAAAGAAATAGTATTTGTTTGATTTATAAAATTAAAAAAAACATTTTTTTTCTCTTGTGAGAAAAAATAGTCTTTTCTGTCAAACTAAAGTGCTTCTGTCTTATATATTAATATTTCTTAGTATTGCTATTTCCTGGATTTATTTGCCTTTTTTTTTTTTTTTTTTGGGTCTGGTCGTGGGGCCCGAACTCTGGGCCTGGGCACTGTCCCTCAGCTCTTCAGCTCAAGGCTAGCGCTCTACCACTTGAGCCACAGCGCCACTTCAGTCTTTTTTCTTTTTGCTTATGTGGTGCTGAGGAATTGAACTCAGGGCCTCAGGCATGCAAGGCAAGCGCTCTATCACTGAGCCACCTTCCCAGCCCTTATTTGCCTTTTGACTGTTACCTGTGCTGCTTGTGACCAGCTTGCCATGTTAGGGAGCTGAGTCTTGTGTTGAAGGAGTTAAAATTATGCATTGTAATTACCAAGTGTGTTGCCTGTTAAAAAGAGAAATCTACCAGGCACCAGTGGCTCACACCTGTAATCCTAGCTACTCAGGAGGCTGAGATCTGAGGATTGAAGTTCAAAACCAGCTGGGACAGGTAAGTCTGTGAAACTCTTATCTTCAATAAATTACTCAGAAAAAAACAGAAG